CTGCAGAAAGCAATAAATCCATATTCTGGCTCTTGGAGCGGTTCCCAGAGTTTAGAGACTCTTTACCCAAATCTTGCTATTTATTAGAAAGCTCTCCCGTGGTCTCTTTCCTTCTCTCCTTTTTGGCAGTAAAATATCATTAAATTAAGCGAGTTCGTTTATCTCAGTTCAATGATAACTAAGAAGATGCTGATTTTAAGAGCAAGTGAGATCCCGGATTGATGTGCCTGTTTGAGAGAGACATTGCCCTCTAGTGACTGAAAGGCACATGATGTAAAAGAACTAAAATTTGACGTGTTTTGTAAGGTTTTATATGGTAAATTTCAAATTGAAGTTTCTGACAGACGGAGCAATGTTGTCTGTGGTGAGGGCTGAGAATGCTCCTTAGCTGTAAGGAGGCTCCTTAGCACCCACCATGATCCATCTCAGCATCCCTCATCCCAGTTAAGGCTGCAGCACATGGCACGACAGTGAGGACCACACACACCTCTCCTGCCCAGCCAGCAGCTAGCAACAAGCTACCTTGAACAAGCTACTTTTCAAGTACCTTGAAAAACACCCTCAGTTAACACTCAGCCTGCGTGCCATCGCCTTGTGAAAAGGCCACAGTGGCCAAGAGCTTGGCCCTGAGTCAGCCAAAATTCTCTCAGAGCTGCTGTTTCACAGCTCCTGAACAGAGGATTGCTGTAAACGCTCATTGCACGGCATGTCTCGTCACAAATACGCACTTTGATTTCTCCCTCTTTTGCTTGTGTGAATACTTTGGGAATGTTTGTTGTTCTTGAGTGCTGCGCTTCACATGCATGTAAGACAGATCCCTTTTCGTTACCGCTCCTTCTTGTTTTAAAGACGGTAATTCGGTTAAGGAGGAAAAGCAAAAATGAGGGGTAAGCGAAAAGTCACGACCAACCATAAAGAAATTATGAAAGTTGAGAATTCCTCCTCCTTCCTTGATAGAGCAAATACTCATGAAAGCAATTAAAAAGAGAGGGAGAACAAATGGTCATTCCCTTCCAGGTGTTCTGAAAAAAAGATAGAGCTTTTGATTAAATGTAATGTACTTCAAGAAAGTTTGTATTTGCCATGATGCCCACTTTTTTAAAAGAAAAATTAAAAATATGAAATGTAAAACTTATTCTGTAGCCAAAACACAATGTGATTTCCTTTTTTGGTGGAAAACCTTGGGATAATGCCATGATTTTGCAATCAGGCTGGATGTGTAAGCGAAAACCTATTCACGGAAAGTTTACTGTGATAAGAAATGCAACAGGTACATTTGGCAAGCTTTTTTTATCATAGACCTCCTGTACAACTCTCCTACCACCGCAGAAACTGCCTCACAAAACACCCACACATCCCCAACCAGACCTGCACTAGATGATAGAAGATAGTATGTAGTATACCCCCACCTATCTCTGAGATGGAATAATTTCCTGTGTTCAACCACTTCAACGAACATGTAGTTTCTTCCTTCAAAGCCCTCTCCCTCGCCCTTTGCTAGTGGCCAGCTGTGTCGTGTCTTACTGTTCTGGAGAAAAAGCTGGGGATGGTTTCTGTGCCTTTGTGGTCAGTAACAACGTGCCTTCCAGGGCAGTTCTTTTGTTCTATATGGTCACGATGATATTTCCTGAAGCAGCATATGCAAGCTGAGGCACTTGCCTGCGTATCAATGAGAAAAGAGAGGAAAAAATGAACAGAGTTGCCTCAGAGCAGGAGCCCATGGTTCTGTGCTTACTGAGAGGCTTTGCCGATGCATTCCTGGCTGGGGGAGGCTGCCGCCCAGCCCGGGGAGCAGTACCTTCCACCTCACGGCTCCGCAGCACGCCGTGCGTGCCCACGGTTTCACTTCACAGCAGGCTGTGAACTGCAGCGACTGAGGACTCTGACACACAGCTGCAGCTAAGTTAAGGTATCACCACTGAAACACTTTGCCCTCCGGCTACAAAGGGAGATAAATTCTTCAACAGCCACAACTAAATCCCAAATGGATCATGCATCAGAGCACTAAAATATCAAACTTGGGATTAAGTGCCTTGAACATTTTTCACTGTCCTTTTGAACTGCTTTTGACCCCCTCCAAATTCAGAAGCTAGCCCTTCAACCACAAGACAAAACCAAGATGAAACAGGAGACAGTGCTTCGTAGTCATAGTGGCCTGGCTCTGCTCGGCAGATTGCCATCTCTTTGCTCTTTACTGAAACAGCTCTGCTCACTGGAAACAGGAAAGCCATGCTTTAACAGGGGGTGTCATCATGAAACTGCCATTTGTGCTCCGTTTAGAAACGAGCCTGGAGAAGAAAGATGTAGCAAGAGGAGCTACCTGTTCAAAACAGTTCCACACCACCCGGTTACCCTTGTGGAGAGCTGGCTTGGAGGGTATCCCCAGGTCCTGAACAAAGAGGGTGCCGGTTTCATGGCAGGGTCAGGTCTCTGCACACTGGGATCTGATGCAGGAGACCAGTACAAGAATGACCACACAGCTGGGATCCTGCCTGACCCATACCTTCTCCACTAAAGAATGAACTGTAGAAGAAAGTGTCCTCCTATACTGGGGTGAAGAATGAGGAAGCAAATAGAATAGAACAATAATAGACTATTTCAGTTGGAAGGGACCTACAACAATCATCTAGTCCAACTTCCTGACCACTTCAGGGCTGACCAAGTTAGAGCATGTAATTAAGGGCACTGTCTAAATGCCTCTTAAACACTGACAAGCTTGGGGCATCAACCACCTCTCTAGAAAGCCTGTTCCAGTGTCTGACCACATTGTCTTTACCTCTTGGTAAAGAAACTCTGCCTAATGTCCAGTCTAAACCTCCTCTGGTGCAGCTTTGAACCATTCTCACATGTCCTATCACTGGATCCCAGGGAGAAGAGCTCAGCACCTCCCTTTCCATCTCACCTCCTCAAGAAGCTGCAGAGAGCAATGAGGTTGCAGCTCAGCCTCCTTTTCTCCAAACTAAACAAGCCCAGAGACCTCAGCAGCTCCTCACAGGAGACACCTTCCAGCCTTTCCACCAGCTTGGTCGCCCTCCTCTGAATGCAGTCAAGGACTTTCACATCCTTCTTAAATTGTGGGGCCCAGAACTGCACCCAGCACTCAAGGTGAGGCCGCACCAGCGCTGAATACAGCAGGATGGTGACCCCTTTTGCCCGGCTGGCCGTGCTGTGTTTGGTGCACCCCGGGATGGGGTTTGCCCTCTCAGCTGCCAGAGCACAACTGCTGACCCGCACTGAGCCTGCTGCCGACCAGCACCCCCAGACCCCTCTCTGCAGGGCTGCTCTCCAGACACTCCTCTCCCAGTTTACACTTGTGCATGGCATTACTCTGTCCCAGGAGCAGAATCCAGCATTTGCTCTTGTTAAATTTCATCCCATTCATCAGAGCCCAGTGCTCCAATCTATCTAGATCCCTCTGCAAGGCATCTCATCCCTCGAGAGAGTCAACAGCACCTCCCAGTTTGGTATCACCAGCAAACTTGCTAACGGTGCATTCAACTCCTGCACCCAGATCACTGATAAATACAGTGAACAGGGCTGGCCCTAGAATTGAGTCCTGAGGAACAGCACTAGTGATCAGCCAACAGCTGAATGTGGCCCCATTCACTACAACCCTTTGAGCTCTGCCCTTCAGCCAGTTCTTCACCCAGCGCAACATGAACCCGCTCATCCCACAGTTGGACAGCTTGTCCAGAAGGATGCTCTGAGGGACAGTATCAAAAGCCTTACTAAAATCCAGAAAAACTACACCCACCCTCTTCCCTTCACCCACAAGCGGGTGACCTTATCGTAGAAGGATATCAAATTAGTTAGACAGGACCTTCCCCTTGTGAACCCATGCTAACCATGCCTGATGACTGCATTAGTCTTTAAATGCCCTTCAGTAGCTCCCCATATAATCTTCATAACTCTTCCAGGAACTGAGGTTAGACTAACAGGTCTGTAGTTCCCTGGCTTCTTTGGTAGACCCTTTTGGTAGACTGGAATAACACTGGCCAGCATCCAGTCAGCGGGGACCTCCCCAGACTCCCAAGGCCTTTGGTACATGGTCTAGAGGGGTCCTGCCGTAACACCCACTAGCTCCTTCAGTACCTGGGTGAATCCCACCTGGCCCCATGGACTGGTGAACACACTCCTGCACACAAAATTAAGCCATAAAGCAGAGGCTGTACTAAAGATACGTGGTTAAACCACGATTTGACACAAGGGGGAGATGCTCTGCCATGGATGCTCATCTTGCAGGCTGTCAACTGATGGAGTACAGGCTACAAATCCTATCTCTGCCACCTCCTTTGGCAAAGAAGATGCTTATTTACTTTCCTGGGCAGGTGTAAGGAAAAAAAAAAAAAAAAAAAAAAAAGCCCACTTTGGTTTAATTTCAGTGATTTAATAACATTATAACCAACATTCTTTATACTCATTCTAGAACTCTGTTCTTTAAAACACTAAAACTGATTTTCTTTTTAAACATCTGTAGTATTCAAAGCACTGGGGGTTTTGGAGCTAACAACCTTTGAAAAATATTGTCCTTCTGTGCACCACCCAAAAATACGTGGGTGCTAACAACTAGGGAAAGACCTGCTCCTCCTCCAGCCTGCTGGATGAACCCAGGGGTGGGAGTGAAATCTGCTCCAGCAAAGCCCCCTGGTTGTATGGCACTAACACAACTGGCAAAGGCAAACACGAAGAAAACATATTTGAAGCAACTGGAATAAAAATGGAAGTAGTAAAGGAGAGAAAAACGAGGAGGTGGCAAAAACCACCATTCCTGCTCTAGCTTGCCTTGAGCTATTCAACATGAGCACCATGGTTGTCTTCGTACTGGAGCAGGATCCCATATAATTGGAGATGGAGGCATTGAAGTGCCTCTAAGAAAGCTTCCAGCTTCAGTACACCTCAGAAATGTTCTTCTGCTCTTCTGCAGAGCTGGCCTGCGAGGTAAGCAGGGAATTAAACCTGCTGTCCTTGCGAGAAAGGGGGAGGCAGCAACAATACATGTGCTAGGTTACACAGCCAGTAGGCAGCAGGGCGAGACTTCATTGCTCTGCCTTTCTGCTGAGGTGCCACAAGACTAGAGACAAGAGAACAAGGCAGTTGCTCTGACTGACACAGAAAGTTGGGTTTCACTGGCTGTAGCTTCCAGGCAGGCTGTCGCTGTTGAAAGCAAATTAGATCAGCTGGGCATCAAGCGATACCTCCCATCAGTTTGCACCACCCACTGCTGCCAGCTTGACACTTCTCTTTCACGCTGCATGTGCCAACTGTCTTACAAAGCCAGCTGCAGCATCTACTGGAAGGACATGAAGAACAACCACAGGTGGGGAGAGAAGGTGGGGGATCAGCTCAGGGTTGGGGTGAGAAGACCTTTTCCTGCCTTAGTCCAGGCAGAAGACAGGGTTCTCCAAGAAGACTGCGAGCTTGCTGGCCACCAGGTCCAGGTCACTGGTGTTGGCATATTTAAGCAGATTGGTGTTCTTGACAAAGTAATGCTTGAGGAAGTGCTGGCTTACACACTTGTGCAGTTTCTGTACCAGCCTCAGAAAGGCTTCAGGGAAGCAGCGCCAATCCTTGGTGCGTGGGTATTTTTCACACGTCCAGAATAGCACTGTCTGCAAGAAGCAGATGGGAGAGAAGAAGTGTTAGAGGTTCTGTCGAGGGCTCACACAGCTTACTAAGGCAGTTTTAGTGCTGGTAAATGGCTGACAGCCTTGGAAATCAGAGTCTTGCATTGCTATCTCCCCGTGTTAACATTCCTGCGACGGAGGGATCACAACTAAAGCCTCCTCTGGGGATCAGGAAGAGCCACTCTGACATGCCTGGTTAGGATCTCTCCCCAGAGGACCCCCACTCCACTGACTGCAGCAGGAGCCCAAGGAAAATGGTCTTGCTAAAATGATCTTAGCCTATTTGCCATACTCCAGCGGGAGCCTCTGTAGAAATGCCAGGCATTTTCAGCTGTAGAAAACGGTCTGTTATACAAGTGTAGAAGCCAGTAGGTGCAAGGAGGGAGGGAAGAATAACCAGATTAACACAATAATTTGTTAGCTTCAGCTGTATTTGTACTGAAGATGTACACAGATCTGCATCCCAAACAGATATTTCAAGCAATTCTTGCAGGTGCAGGGCATGCTTTCTGATCAAGTGCAGCCTGTGCTTTTCTGGCACATGATACTAACAGCATGCACTGTGTTCTATTCCCCCAAGTTTATTTTATGTGATTTTACATTTGAGAAATCCCTAGTTAAAATAACAAAATGCAGTTAAAATAACAAAATGCATATAATTATTCCTCTCATAATAATATTTCTACGCTGCTCATGTTGCATTTTTGCAGACTTTCCTATGATTGAGAAGAATTTTCTGGAGCTACTTACACTTATTGTAACAAAAAAGCTATACTGACTGCCTTGGTCAGCCTGAAATCAGTTTTAAAACTACGAAGTCACCCATCTTGGGTTCAATAATTCTGATAAGTTCCTTAGTGTCCTCTGAATCCCAATTTTATTTTGTAGATTCAGCAACCCAAAAAGAGACCCACAGATGCTGAGATGTGGCCAAACTACAGCCTTCAACTCCTATTTCTTCAGAGGTAGAATTTAATCAAAATAATCCATACTATTCTGGAGTGCCTGGTTTGTTTTTTTCTTCCAGTAGGCGTTGCAATAGTTAGACAAATTTCTTCACAGACAGCTTTTCAAATGTGGACAATGTTTTCTTTCACAGATCCAATAACCACAAAGACTTTTTTTTTTTTAATGTTGCCAGGAAACAAAAAACATAGTGAGGAATTAAAGATGTAACTCTGTGAGAGCTACTCCTCGGACACTTACCTTTTGTCACACTAAAACTAATTCAGCAAGATCCATGGGTAGCAGTTGCAGTGAAGTTTCTGGAAGCAAGGAAAGTAGCACTGCTCTTCCAGCCATGTGCCAAACAGGTAATCTATCCCCAGCATTTACTAAACCATTCCTAACAGATAGCTGTCTACCGGAGGCATGGAGTTGGATTTCAAAATGTACCTAGGCCTTTTCAGACTTCCTGATCCTGGAGATAAGCATGTTGAGCGTGCTTACTGAATCCTCGAAGGCTTTCACAACTCCTAGGGGAAAGATTTCCTCTGTCATAAAGGGCCTTTTTCATGTGGAGTCTTATTTAATCATAACTGTTAGACACCTCAGACAGTGGAAACCTAATAAGTGAAAAAAAACTAACACTGAGCCTCTCCTCAGCTGCTGGTTTTTCAACCGACTGTTTCTCTCTCTCTCTTTTTTTTTTTTTTTTTTTTTTTAATGTAAGTATTGTTGAAGCATTCCTTCTGTCTGGTAAACCAATCCTTTCTTGCAGTAAAAGCCTGAAGTACAGCTACAGTGAAGAACTGAAAAGCTTCTAAAAAGCTTTTTATCTTGATCAAGAGTCCATGCAACAGCACTTCCTGGACCTCTTCTCCTTGAGCCAGAAAAAGAGATTGCTACTAATGGTTAAATGATTTTCCACTTTCTCCTACCTATGGCAGTATTTCCACCAGATTGTTCTTACAGGCACCAAGAAATTTTTCATTCTGTTAAGCTACGACCAACCTCGTTAATTCTTTTTTGACTCTATTTTGACTTAGATTAGTCCCATGACTGTAACAGCACTTGATGGTCACAACCTTTTCTTTAGGAGAAGTCTTGGCATTGCATCTGGTTTTGGACACCAGAAGATCAGTGACTACTGTGGAAGCCTGGTGGCTTGAGGCTTCAAGGTGGGAGAAGAACAGCTTCTCCTTGGCAGCTCCAGAAGGATGGAGGCCCAGAAAACAGGATTGCTCTACTGTCTCATAAAAAGTGCTGCCTGTGGCCCATCAGTGTCTGCAACTGTCAGATGTGGGGACACAGCCATAGCAGAGCCTTCTCCCTCTTCTTCACAAATGTTGTTTGAAGCCATCTTGAACCCTGAAGAACTTGCAGGGAGGATGCTACCACTCTTTTACCTCTTTCTTCCCTTTCCACCCCAGGTGAAACAACAGCAGAACTGTCAGTTTGCACCTCATTCATGAAATAACGCTCACCTAAGAGAACTTTGTTTGGTGCACATCCATAAAGGCAAATACACAATTTTCCTCCAGACAGATAGATGGATATGGACAGCTGGGATAGTCAAAAAGCAGGAGGTAACTGTGTGGTTAAAGACAGTATTACAATGCCTGTGTCAAGTCAAAAGAGAGCAGGAGCCTCAACTCTTAGCGTTATTTATGTTGCTGCAATCACAATGTTCCGACATGCTTTAGTTTCTTGTTGAAGTTTGAAACATATATTTACTGAACTACTTGCCACTGTAAAGCAAGGAAATGGTACTGCAGTTTTGACAGTTACCTTAGAAGTTACAGAGACATTACAGTGATTTATGCCATGATATTTTGACATTACTGGATGGGAGCACCTGCAACAGATAGTGAGACTGTATCTTGGTATCATGGTGAAGCCTACCTGAAGGTGATAAGCTGTGATGACAGGCTTATTTCCAGCACACCAGACATCTTCCTTCATCTGCCTCATGACCCTGAAGCACTTCAGGCGACAACCACCATCTTCATCAAGTCCTTCCATCAGCATATGCTCAGCCCGGGAGAAGCACAGCTGCCAGTGATAATTGGAGCGGGCCAAAAGGTCGAAACCAAGTGACTGTGGACAAAAGGGGAAGTGTGACACCAGATCAAAGGCAAACTTCTCCGAGAAACGCAGAGGGATGTTACAAAAAGGGTGTGTGACATTTCTCCGAAGGGTATTCTAAGCGGGATTAGCCGAGGCAGCAAACATGGGTCATGCTCCCATCCTAATTCCTCATCAAATGACTGTGCAATTTGTTTGGTTTCCTCCTGTGCTGACATCAATTACTCCCAGGAGATCCAGCTCTGGAGCCACCAGGTGCAGTACCAGCAGTGCTACTAAAGCAGAGGCACAGCTCTGCAGGCACTTTGCCATGGAGCAGCAGGTCGTGCATGGGAGGGGAGCAGGACTGGAAGGTGTAACTGGACCCTGCAGGAACATGGCAGCTGGGGCTGAGCTGAGGTGGCAGAATCCATCCATGAGCTTTGTAGGGAAAGATGGGATTCGGCTGGAGTGAAAACTGCAAGACAGTGGCCCATTTGCAGAAGGCTTTCATGAGGCAGGACAGAACAGCAGGAATGATACACATGAACGCTGAGCTACACAGGCAGAGCTGTGTGCAAGAGACTCATGCAATAAACAGTTAATGCAGTTTTCTTCCACAGAATTCTCCACCGTAAGGGTGGAAAAAAACACCCCAATAAAATCTGACAAAATACTTTGAAATATTGCTTCTCTAGAGAATACACCTTCCAACAATGCAGTCTTTCAGTTAGGAAACCACTGTCAGCCACCTGTGAGGTAAATTCTGGCAGAGTTCATAGTGCTTTTTACACTGTTCACCTTGATGCACTGCACTTTTTCCTGGGAAGGCCAACGCTTAAGGCAGCGAGGCCACCGGGCTTTCTCGGGCCAGCAAGTTGGAATCTCCACAGCAGGGACCAGCTCCACCTCGACCTGGAGTTCTGATGTCTCCACAGCTACCCGGACTACTGAGCTGAAGCTCTCCAGCACCGTCACTTTATCTGTGAATAAACAGCAAGAGATGGTAATAAAGAGGAAAAGGTCCTTTTCCACAAGCCAAGCAAAGGGCTGTCTAGGGCCTTGCAGTTCTATTGTTCCGTCTCAACACTTTCTCTTCAATGCCATAAGCAGAATACAAGAAAAAACTTATCATTTTAATCTCCCCTGGAGAATGAGAACAAGAAGAAGATGAAGGAACAACTAAGTTCTCAAGTTTACGCTCAGTTACCTTGCCTTTGTTTTCCTCTGTGGGTCCTCTTAAATCCTAGGACCAGCTTCTTAAAAACACAGACAGATAACTGGTGCAACCTAACATTTCTAGTGGTACATTACAACAAGGACATTACTGCAGATTCAAGGGCACCAGATGAACACTTTGTATCTCAAGATCTCCTTATTTCTTCAGAGAACCCGTGATCAGACCAAATGATTTACTCTTGCCGGTCATTCAGAATGTTTTGTGGGGTACCTGTAAATTTTGTTTCTGGAGATGCACTTGCACAGAAGACAATGCCAGAACTTATGGCCTGTTGTGTAGAGCACTCATACAAAAAGGGCTAACTGCTTGCCTCACTGGGACTGCTGAGTGTCAAAAAGAGTTAGTTCCATGGTGATTTGGAGGAAAGAAGTTTCCTCAAGTGAAAGAAGAGTGGCTCATCTCCAGAAACAACATGCTCTAAGAGAGCAGAAAGGAATGAAAGCTGCAACTAATGGACTTGGTCCAGCTGTGCTCATGGAAGAAGTTTCTGGCCCCAGCTTTTCCTGTCACTTTGGCAGGATCCCTGTCTCTTCAACTTTGCCAGACAAGCCAATTGCACAATCATGCTCTAACCTACTGAAATAAAAGACAGAGCGGATTACCATAAGCAGGTTAAATAACGGTGTGTTAACCCACCTCATTTTGTTTGGCATGGGCTAAGGAGCAATTCCACAAGGAGCCCACACAACAGACTTGAAGGGACAGTGATGGACATAATCTACCCTCACAGAGGAAGTATCTGCCTACTCCCAGTGGTAATTTAGCACCTCCTCCAGGAAGCACAGGAGCGAATTACCTTGCAAATAGTGGAGTCCATCCCAACCAGAACTTTATAACTTTCAGTAAAATCTGCATGCTATTTCCCTCCTGAGCCAAACCTGGCACCAAAACAGGAACTATACTGCTCCCAAGCCCTTAGCAGGGATCCCTAGCAGCCAACATGCATTAAAGCAACTGCTGTGTCAGCATGTAAATATACTCACAGCATTTCCAAAAGCATCACAGTTGTGCTACCTATTTTTCCACCAATGAAAAGTGAGACACCTCAAAAACTCTGGTTTTCATGGTGCTCAAAGAATTAAAAAATAGGGAAACAATGAAATCAGGGAAATTTTTTTGTAACTTTAGTTGTACTGTGGGATGAAAGTTCATTCTCCACAGAAATTAACAAAATTGGTAATTACTCCTCCTGACTTCATCTTAGCTCATCTCCTCAGTGTCAGTCTCCTCCCAACTGGTCTTACAAAAAAGGCATCAGAATCATCATCCCAAACATCCCTCCCTGGGTCCCTCGGAAGTACCTCTCCTGGCTCAATAATTTGATGTACGGCTGCTAGACACAATGGCAGGTTTTCACTTCAACACAATGACTTTCGCATAAGTAAACCCTCAGATGGAAGCCCATTCTATCTGGTCTTTTCTGTGAGCCTCCATGTTGAAATTTCACCCCCATCAACTCTTCCATTTCTATGATAGCAAATATTTCATGTAAGAATGTAATGATCTAGCTCGGCTTGGCTTTAACAAGCTTTCTCCTGTGACTAAAATTCAGAGTGCAATCAGATGAGTGGAAATGGCTCCTATTTCTCTGCAATACAGAAGACCCATATCAGGCTGCTGTTGAGTAAAGTCATCCTGGAAACATGCTATGACAAAAGGCACCACAGTCTGGATTTGATCATGTCACAGCATCTTAATGTGAAAAGATGGACATCGACTATTTATCTTGGACCAAGCCAAGTGGTCATGAGCTGGTCTATAGCACACCTCTAGAATGTCAAGAATTAAGCATGAGGATCACTGTTCACTCAGCATCTTGCTACAGATGTTGCAGCTATGATGGCATGTTGCACGCACCACTGATTGCATTATGTCAGTGACCAGAAGTTCCAGTATAAATAGCCACTGGAGATAACCAGGCACTCTGAATTGCTCACAGAGGGATCAGCACCATTACTGAAAGCAAACTTCCCCAGTCCAGTTCTGCTGAGAAGGACTGGAGTAGCCTGGACACTGGGGAAAAGAGCACTTGTCCTACAGACTTTGCTTAAAATCCTTCTACTTAGTTGCCACCACCCCATGATGGAAAGCTATGGGCAGCTAAGGTTTCCTCAGAGCATCATCTGCCCCGTATGCATCTTCAAGCACTTTCTCCACTGATTCATACCCCTTCTCTGTATCCAATTTTCCTATACTATCTTCCTTGATAGCCTAGATATATTGCAGGTGCTGTTGTAGAAAAAGATTTTTCCCAAACAAATTCCTAAATGTTCTGAAAATCTGCATTGCATCTCAGCTGAACTGTGAGGGTGATGTTGCTGGAGACCCTACCCAAACTGCTATTAAATGAGCAACGTCTTGGGTATGAAGAGCCCAAGAACAATTAATTCTATTTTCAGTGCAGGTCTACATGCATCACTGTAATGGGCTACATGATTTTGGAGAGGTTTGCGGTTTCTTAACTTCTGATCATGTGAGCCAAACACCTTGTGTGTGTGATGGCTTCCCTCTATCAGCTGCAGAAGGCAGCCAGTTCCCCTTATGCCTGTCCCCACCAAACTCACTGGAGAGGTTACAGGAGATAATCGACTTCTCCACCAGCTCCCGGAAGACGATTAGGACTTTGGCTGGAACCAGGTCACCTTCGATGTTCACGTCCGTTTCATGCCACTGCTGAAGGCTTTTTGAGAACTGCTCCACCTCTAGCCATTGATGCAATTCCTCAGGGTCCCGCACGGAGGAGAGGAGCTTGGCTCCCTGCACAGTGTAATAACGCCAGTGCCGTACCTGGCACTCCCTGTACCCAGTCAGGCCACGCAGAGGGACTGTGATGAGAAATTGGCTGGGTGCTAAGACCTAGGAGAGTGCAGAGAGATTGAGAGAGGAGACAAGGGCAGATCCATGAGCCTGAAGTATGAAAAAAGGGTTAAGGAAGTAATGGGTAAAACTGTGGGCTTTGAAGAGAAGGAAAAGCAATGGTATGATGGGCAAAACTGAATACATCCAGAACCCGTTCCATGCCTGTCTCAAGGTTACTTTGGAGATAACACAGACTAAAAGAAAATTGTCTTAGAAGGAGTCTGATGTGACAGCCATGGCCCACAGAGGACAAGAGTGCACTGACTGACTTGCCACCACATCTGCCATGGTTTCCCCCATTCCTTGTTATTTCTAGACTGCACTTACATGAGCTGTAATAACTAGCAGCTTACAAAGAGCAAGAAAGCAATCACAGAGCTTGTTTTGAGATCCAGCAAAGGGAAACAAAATAGTGCAAGTTATTACCTCAGAATAGCTACCAGAGATAAGCCCAGAGCTCAATAGTAGTAGTAACTATGGCAAAAAGGGCACTTTTCTGATCTCTTTCAAAGTCTACAACAGACATTAGTAAAATAAGACTATAGCCAATTCATTTTACAAGTGTTTCACTCTGCATGACTGTCCTTGAAGAGACAGAGATGTGAGACAAGTGACATGCCTGAGCCTGCACAGGCAGTGGCACTCTCAGAAATAAACTCAGGTCTTGGCCAGCCGTACTGTATGAAACTGCATCTCCTGCTGAGCAGAAGCCAGAAACAGTGTAAGGCTGGGAGCAGTAACCAATGGGTAACAAACCCACAACCAGGCTGGTTTGCAAGACCTCAGTTTGGGAATGACCATTTTCCAATAAAACCAATGCTGAATCAGTGTTTGCAAACAGTGAATAAGGTGACACAAATACCATGAAATCTCCTGCTGGCCCAGGGCATAGCCAAACATCTCCAAACACTAGTTTGGAATCATCTGGCGATTGTGGCCCCAAGTATTTTGAGAGGGCGTTCAAACTCCTTCAGTATTCTACCATGTTGACTCAGAAGCTCTTTAACTCCACTTGCTACCAAGCCAAACTTAAACTGCCATTAATAAGGTGAAGCTGCTGCACAAGCAGGATGTGAAATGACAAATGTTGCTGCAAGGTGGTTACCTCGAAGGGAATGAAATGCCCCTGCTACTCTCTTGTAATAATCCAAAACATTCTGGTTGGCCTTCCTGGTAGCTCAGCTGGTTTAAAATATTACTGCAGAGGTGCCAGGGTCCTGAGGGCACTAGCAGGCTTTGATGGTACAGCTTTTCTGGGGCTTCTACCCACACCTTCTGCCCATGGGGCTGGGACCCCCGTTTCAGCTCAGCACCAGGCTATGTTGTAGGAGGGCTGGTCTCCAGCTGTGTGACAGCCATGCCTGTGCCTGGCCACTGACCTTGTTGTCTTGCTTGCAATCTGCCTTCCCAGCCTGACCTCAGACCTACCCGGCCACTATGGATTTTCCTGGCAATCAGTAGACTGTATCTGACCCTGGTTACCATCATCGGGCCCGATCCTGACTCCAATGAGTGCTCCTGGCTTGACCTCAGACCTGCCTTATCAGCACAGACTTGCCCGACAATCCAGATTCTCAGCTGACCCCATCTGCCCTCCCGAGGTCTGCCTGACTCGGGGACCGTGGGGCAGGCACTGCCACGCTGCCACGCTCACCTCCCGGCTCCCCCTTCCACAGGGAGCAGCCGGTCTCCTCTGGTCCCTGGCAAGAGATTTGAAATATAAAAGATGGCCAGCAAGAAGCACAGAAATGACGAAGGAAACACCAGAAGGATGACATTGCAGACCAAGCTGAGCTGCACAAGTCAGGTTTGGTGGGGCTGAGAAATCCCATGAGCAGCTCAGGGATGATGTGCTGGCTCCATAAGGAAAAAAAAATACAATGGCTGTCATGCAGTTACTGCTCATCTCACTCCCTCAGCCACATTTGCAGATAAATGACCATTCCTTCCCATCCCAAGATGCTGACTTGTATGCACTGACACCCACAGATTTTAAAGGGGAGAGCTGCAGGTTTTATGCCAATGCTTTCAAATACAAGTCACAAGGGCCTTCCACCTGGGGCTTACCAGGAAACACCAGAAATCACAAGGCTGGGGGTAGCACTGCAAAGCTGGGCCACTGGTGGCCTCTTGGCCTAAATAAATCCTAGTCCCACACCTATGCTCTGTCACACGACGGTCCTACACACCATATGCAGACCATGGGCCCCAGCAAGTCACAAGCTTACACCAGAGCCTCAAATTCTGGGGTGTGTAGCCTATGGCCAATTCTGCTGTATTAAAAACCTGCCTGCAGTATGCTGGGCAAATTGAATACAGCCTCATTCCTGTGATCCTGGCCAGGACGTCCCAGGGAGGCAGAGGCATTAGGTTAGAAATAAAATATTTACACTTTGAGCAAAAAAGCAAGTCTCTTGCGGGGAGGATGAAATAGTATAGGAGGATCGGTTAGGTGGGTGAAGGTGTCTGGAGAAGAGGGCTAGTGAGGAGGTAGCAGGCACACGGACCGGCAGGCACCGGCTGGCAGGAAGGCTTTGTACCTGGATGGATGGGTGGAATGGGCGCTTCCCCCGAAGCATAGCTGACCACTTGGCCAATAAAGCTGGCTGATCCTGAGAGAAGCAGAAAGGAAAACAAGAAGAACACAGAACAGAGAGAAAGCATGTACCAGGTCATTCATTCACAGAGCAAAGCTGCAAGCATCCTTTGAGCCTATTTGTTAAAGGAAAATTCCACCCCCCTCCACCACGATTACAGAGTTAAACACTTGGCGATACCATCGGTCAGTGCTGTACTAGTAATTTCTCTGGACTCCAGCCTGCTCATCATGCCTTACTGAAGCCTCCACAGCTTTTTCATCAGCCCTGCACAGTTGACAGCTGCAAAAATGGTGGGCTGCAACTAAAACAAACACAAGTTTTAAAAATAAAATATTCCATTTTGCCCATCTAAATTTTATTTCAACCTTTTTATTAAAGATTTTGACTTTTTGTCCCCCAGGTTACAGAAAAACATTGAATATCTAAAGACTTTTTTATATATTCCCCACCATCCCTGCATATTTAGAAGACTTGTAGCTTCTCAACAAATCTAGACCCTTCACCATGTTAAGTTAATTCCTTTAGCTGAAAGTTCTGAAAAGTCACTGTAAATTTAATTGACAGAAAAAAAGATGTTGCAAAATTAAACATGGAATAGTTAATATATTGGCCTTCCCTTGACACAACTCTCCTCTAGGTTGAGTTATGTCATCAGTTATATTAAAGATTCTAGTTTTTGGAAGCAGAATGGCCCAAACCAAAAAAAAAAAAAAAATTTCTTACTAACCATTTCTTTGCTGCCCCATACCTGCAGGACAAAGTTAGCCAGGCCCTGCTAGTATGACTTCCACAGATTTATAGCACTGGGTTCCATTAAGTATAAATAACAAATCTGCCACTTTGTAAGAAAATACATTTTGAGGATTTCTTTTAAACCGAAGTTGTTCGGATCAACCTACCATAATACCAAATTACTGCTCAGAATATATTGCCTTGGTTTTGTTCTGCTTTGTTTTCCAGAACAGCAATTTTACTCTGACCCTGGTCCTGTCAGACCTCATTAGCCAAGCAGGTTTGTTCCAGTATGAGAGGTAGATGACAGACTATGTCACTAAGGAACACATGGACCAGGTTGTGGCACCATTTTATGTCACCGTGGTCATTCCTATTGGCAAGACCACATGCCCCAGGATATGCAAAATTCCAGAAAAATATAAATCTGAATGTGTTTGTCCTCAGAGCAATAGCCACATTTCAGATTGGATGATTACATTCTGTCTCCACTTCCATACCCTTCCAGCAGCTTGATACACACAGAGTTATTCCCTATCAATCCTAGACCACTGCAAAAGTTGCCTCATGCTTTTTCATGTTTGCTGTGCTTTGATCCATAACTGGCTGCATTTTAGTCTAAGGATTGACATAGACAGAGTATGTAAACTAGTTCAGATGAAAAAGATATTTTTCATCTGAAGTTGCCATTGCTATGATTGTTTCTTATATCCTTACACTAATTATTCTTGTGTTAAGTAGTCACAAGAAATAACCAGTCTTCTCCTGTCGCAGCTGGGACAGGACATTATTATTTTGGTATCTGATGGTCTAAACTGGGGAGGCATTTAACTTCTCCCACTAATAAGAATATCTCTTCACAGTAAAAAAGAAGTTCCGATCCATGACCAAGAAAAAAATAGCATATTTTTCTGAGGGAGCTTTCTAATGTTCATAAAGGAAGAATGATTTTTGATATTTTTTTCATTTTTTTACTGAGTTGACAGGTTTTCCACCTGTGAAAAACATGAGTCATAGCTCTTGAAGGCATGAGCATTTTTTTCCTCTCATGTTACTGCTGTACAAGTTTTTCTTTCTGTCTCCCAAAGAGCTCTGGCTTCTGCTTGCAGATTGACAGCTCTGGCAATAGACGCCCTTCGTAAAAACAGCAGCTGTAAAAAGAGGCTCTGCCTCATTTATCCGTCCCTCTCTGATGCTGCTCTAGTTGTAAGATGTCCGTAAGTCCCTATGACCCAGGCAATAACTAGAACTTCCACAGCGAACTGTCAACGCATTGTCTGTGGCATTTTGGGTGAGGTACCTGTCCATGCAAACACACAATGGAGAAATCGCTTCCTGATTACCTACAAGCTTCCAGAGAGTATATTGGAGCTCTTGTTCATACCTTAATATTCTCATTGTGAATGCCAGAGTTGGAGATAGCCTGGAATCGCATAGCCTTATAGCTGATTTCTGCAGTCAGTTCCTGGATGATTTTCTGCACCTCCTCCACTACTTTGGAAACCAGATAATTTCTCTGTTCCACCTGTCAGTTCCAAGAAAGACACTTCACATTACAGGTAACTGCAGTCTTTTATTCCAGTGGGAAATAGACAATCAGCTTAAAGCATCCTGAAACATTTGTGCCTGTGCTGCACTGGGAATAAAACATCATTCCCTGTGTGTTACAACCAACTTACCATGAGACAGGGCTGGTAAACACCAGCTGGTAAACACCAAAGGGCCAATACTCAAGGCTGCTGAGCATTAATTGATATTTCCATGCCAATACCATTGATAGAATAGAAAGAGTTCATGACGTGGAGAAATTTGCTATCAACCAGCTACAGTCTCACTCTTTATCCATTTGATGCAGAATACACAGTTATTCCCCGGCATATACCAGCCATTTTCAGATCCAGGATAACTATCATTCCAAGAGCTGACAAGACTTCAAGAATTACAGATACTCTGTGCATTAGTCAGGTTACAGGTGTATGTGGCAGCATTTAGATGCCTACATTATATGTTGAAGGTATCCATACTGGCTTCATATCTGAAGTACAGATGAGAGTCTGCTCCTAGATGGTGAGAAATTTTTGAAGCCTGTCCTATCGGGGACTAAATGTTTATGTAACCTGATGGATGGTTCTTCAATTCAAACAGTAGTAGCATAATTATTTATTGAAAACTGTTTCAGTGAAAGGTCTGAGTCTTGGAAAAGCTTAGGTGAAGGATGGACAACTCAAAAATATAAGATGAACCTGAATCTTCACACACAACTAAAAATAATAGAACGTAAAGAGATGGTCAAAATCCAAACAAGGAGATTCAACAGGAGGAACATAAAGGAACCATGTTAATAAAGGACATTTAAATATTTCCCAAAGATCCTTACACATTTACTAAAGTGAGAAGGAGATTCAACTACTGTTAACAAAGTTTGTGAACATATTCTTCATTACTTATTCATCCAGAATAACCTATGCAGAGGGCACAACACTGCATGGCTGAAGATGAAAGTTCTCACAGAAATACACTTATATGTCACCAAAACATTTCCATAGAGAAAATAAACCTTTTTTATCAGCCCCTTCATGGTACTAGAATATTTCATCCTTTATAGATGAGAAAGTCTTACAGTTTTCCATTTTGAAATAATTTTCACTTTGGTGTCCTGCATTTTGTCGGGGAAAGCAGACTATAAAATAGGGTCTAGCCAAGTACTGTGATGAAGCATATCAGCTTTAAAAAATGTTATGGCTCACTTACAGTTACTTTTATTAAACAGCACTGTTTGACTGATGATTTTATTCTGTTTTACTTCATTTCATAATAAGAAAAAAAAAATCAAGTGCTGGAATATCTCATAAAATAGAAAATGTGATTCCAGCCTGCAAGTGCTAATGAGACATGTTATTTTAATCATGGTATATAGAGATGTATCCTTAGCTGAGGTGACAGACCGATGGGTGAATTCTAACAATATCTATCTCTCTCTCTCTAGTTCCAACATGTATCTGGCTTAGAGACAGCTCCTGGTGTGATTTTGGTCTTGTTTCCGTCAAGCCAAGACCACTGGACAGGGAGAGAGGGAAAGACCTTTCCTTAGATTAGATGCTGGCAATTATAGAATTATAGTTAGTCTCACATCTGGAATTCTAGATCACGAACAAAAATTCTAAAGAAGAAGAGGACAAGCACCTTGAAAAATTAGGCTACCAGCTGAGATCCCTGACAACATTCTGCAACAGAAACCTAGAAGTCTCATTAGAAATACAGTTCCCATGAAACTTCACCCAGTCTTGTCTCAGAAATGAAGACAGCAGGCGAGCAACTAACTGTCAAGTTTGGCACCCTTCAGAATCAACACCTAGTGTGGGAGACAGAAAATCTGGACAGATAAAGCCTTACCTTGCTCTGGATGTAGATTTCTACATCTTCATCTGTGAATGGTTTCATGGCAAGATGGTCGTCTCTGCTCTCTAAAGTGTGAATTCACTCTTCACTCGTTCACCTGCCTCTGGAAGTAGAGGGACACTCAGAGCAAGCTGCTCAGAGCCTCCTTGACCTGCGAAGCTCAGGTCACCTAATTCCTCTGTGGATGAAGAAGAGGAGAGAGAAGCAAGGAAGTACGCCTATTTTTTTTTAATCTTTTTTCTGGTCTGAGTTACAATGGTGACATACAGCTACTCTGGAAAACTAGCTCCAATTATTATTTTTGAAGTTCAATCATTATGATTCATCTTATTACTTTTAAATGGTGGGTCTTGCATGCAGGCACACACAAAAATATCCCAGCTACTGCTCTGTCTCAGGGCAGGTCTGGAAGCACCTTTCAGATTGCACTGCAGATTCAGTACACCCGTGCACAGCATTATTATCCTGCGTGCCACAAGAACTTCCCTGCCTCACTAGCCCTTCACTAAAGCATTTGTTAAACACTCTCAGCTATCCCTTGTTGACTTCAATCCACCCACTTTCCGCCTGAAACTGCATGGGTACTTTCACACTCAGATCATTCCTTTGGGTTGCAGTGTGCAGCCTCTGCTCCCCTCTCCTCCCCTCTCCTTATATCTCCTCTCTCTCTCCGGCTGTATTGACAGTAAATATCCTGCAGCCTGTCCCCTCCTGTAGTTTGCTTTGCTTTCTTTACAGTAAACAGACAGAAAGCTGTCTCTTGCTTTCTGCCAGCAGCTCAGCTAACAACCCCATATGGATAATTCAGAGGGAAAAACAATTGATCAGGCCTCATTGATCCAGCGAGGACTGGTAGCTTTTAGAAAAAAGGGTACACCAGCACATAGAGGGGAGTGACAGAGTATAGAGAAGAGACCCCATGCTGCTAAGTGTCCCTTATTAAGGAAGGTACTCTCCACTTTTGAGTAAAATCATTATTTCTCCCTGGAAACTGAACTTTGACATCCCTTGGCTGATTTATTACCTCTACAGCAGCTGGCAAAAGGCAACACTTGGGTAGGCACTGGGTGCTACCTCAGGACAGACACTGTTATTGCTAGTTATCCTTCATGATGTTCCTTATTAACAGTCAAATACTAAGTACATTAATGGAGCACCAATACCTGCAGGTTATCTGATTCCCCAGAATCTACGAATCAAACCTTTCCCTGTGCCTCCCAGGCATCTGCCTGCATCTTCTTGCTGAGGGAGTCAAGGACTCCTTCACAAAGACATGTAGGCATTTACTTCCCAAACCAGCTTCCATGGGAGATGGGCACTGAAAAAAATGAGCCCCCCAATTTTTAGGGAACCATAACTCATCCTTGCTCGCTTTAAGACTTACTGGCTCTCTTTCATCTGATGAGCTAGCAGTATATACAAGCTCTGCTAGGACAGCTGGACAAAAGGCAGTTTCTGAAAGAAGATGAGTGGGACAACAGGGTAGGAAGGTCTTTCAGAGGCAAGTTGGATGGGATTAAGCCCAAGCAGAGCATGCAACGAAGGAGAATTAGCCTTTTAAATGGTCAGATTCCATCAAAAGTGTGTCCCTAAAACATTAACTCCCTTGTGCCCCACCACCCCCTGGCAGCTAGCTGTAGATAAAGAAGACAACTTCCTTAGCACTCCTGATACCATACATTACTTTAATACCCAGAACCTCAGGTGTGTATTAGAAAGCAAAGACAGATTAAGGGTCTTTCTTTCTTGCACCTATAAAGTCTCTCCTTGTGACAGCTGTCAAGAGTCACAGGTGCTGGCAGACAGATGAAGAAGTGGTTTTGGTCATTTTTCTTGTATACAATAAACACACCTTATGTTTATAATCCTTTTCTACTGGGAAGAACTTCCCCAAGAGGGTCTGGATGTCCCCAGATCCACCTCCTCACAGTGAGGGAAGGTGGCATAAAGTCTTGGACAAGGACTGTCTTTTTGTTTTACATGCAAGCATATTTAAGACCAAGTCCAAGTTTATGTTGAGGTCCAAGGATCTGAGCAACAGTTCCTACTTGCTCCTGCCATCTGAAGAGAATAAATAACTCTCCCTTACCATCACTGTTAAGAAAGCACAAAGGGACATAGTAGAGTAAAAAGCAATGAGAAACCCCATATCAAAATTAACATAAAACACAGGCTTTTCTGAGCTCTGGGAACTCCTTGTTCCAGCTGTAAGAATTTGCTGCTTCATAATTTCCTTGAACTTCAATAAATCCAAAGAAAGAGAGAAGGAGAAGAACCGTTACAAGAACTGGGTGCAGGAGATCATAGCAGATGGACAAGCGCACCAAGTGCCTGTGGATTTTATTATGCTACTTATAGGATGCAAAGAGTACTATTTGACTGACAGAAAATAATGCAACCAATAAAGGCCCTTACACCAACAGCAAAATACAGTACAGGTTAGAGGGACAGTAGACCCTTCTGTAAAGGAAAATGCAGCATGGTGGTATGGGAGGCAGCAGCCAGTCTTGACTTCACTGAGGAAAACAGACAGCACAAGGACTGTTTGTTGTTTGTTACATGAGGGACCAGATAGCACAGAACAGAGGGGAAAAGTAGAGGCAGATGGCCATGTGTGAGGAGGGAATAACCTGCATCAGAAGGGAAGAATACAGAGAAATGGGAGTGCAGAGAGAGGAACATCTGCAGAGATAAAACAGGACGTAGACCCAAAGTAGGAAGAATCCAGGATCCTCCAGTGAGATCTGCTGAGCTGATGTGGTGCTGTTGCAGTGAAACTTTCATCTAACTTCAGCCAATAGTGATGGCTTTTGCAGCTCACCCCATTAAAAGTTCAAGATTTCTAGATATTGGTTTGGGTTTTGGTTTTTTTTTTTTTTTTTTTTTTCCTTATCTCCAGTTAACTACCAAAATCTACCGAAGCAAACCCATGCTCCAGGCTGGTCCTTCTCGGGGAGTATCTATCCTGGCAGTGCTTGTATAGGAAAGTAAGATTACAAATGGAGAAAACCTGAGATGGACCCAAGCTCCAAAGGCTAATAAACACAATTTCTAGAGAAAACATTTCCTCTGAGTCTACAACAACTTAATTCTCCAGGCACAAGGGCATGAAGAAAGGCTATTTCTTGTTCTTCACTCTTTGAGAAGCACAGAAGGAAGAAACAACCCTGTTGTTCCTTAGACTCTCCTCCTTTCTCCAGGACCAGGCGTATTTTGTTCACTGAAGGAGAACACTTGCTAACTGTTACTTTCTGAGCAGCTTCCACACTGCTAACACTCCCTGAGCAGAGGAGGCCATGGCCTACCACAGAAATGTGTCTCCACAAAGTACCAGCCAGGGCCATGAGTTCCCATCCAGCTCTCCCAGGTGTCAGCCTGATGGCCAAGGCAGCCACGGACCGAATGGATGGGAAAACTTCACAACTGCTTCGTGGGGATACAAAGCACCCCACTGAAGCCAGGCAGCAACATAAAGATGCAAATGGAAAAAGCCTCTTCAGTTCTAGTTAGCTCACAACCCATCAGATATCACAGATCTGAGCCCTGTAAAGAGCTTTTGAGCTTTGTTAATTTAACAAGTATACTTGTTTCTAAGGAGATTCATATCCACAATGAGAATTGCTAACTTTCTGACACCTCTGAATCCCTTCCTTTTCTCCTGATTTTTGAAAGAGGCTTAAGCCCCCACTGGAGTCTGAGCATACTTCTGAGAGGGAAGGTCACCACCAGACAGTTCTTGCTGGGGGCACCGCAACCTTCCTTCCCAATTTGGTGTCCCTCAGGAGGTTATCAGCATCACTTACACAGCTAGCTGGCCACAGACAGTCCCCCAGATTCTGTTTGATGAGCATCCATTGATTTATCTTGATGTTTGATTAGCATCCATTGATTTATCCTGATGTTCTCAAGCATTTTTAGGCCACACTTCAATATCTTGGTCTTCTCAAGTCATAGTTCACTGCCTTCTGATATGCATAGGTTCATCTGAAATGATTCAGCTGTATTACATCCTCCCCCATTTGTTTTATTTCAGTGCCCACCTCAAAGCACCTTGTAATGGAGTTCAGTTTGTAGCTGGTTTCCTTTGTACCTGTATCTTCATTTGCTTATCAGTATTCTTCTAAGAGGATTTAGGGATTTCCTAGTGTCTGCAAAAATACTGGTTCTATGATAGATCATCTTCATTCATGTCTTTGGTTATATCCAGAACTGAATATGATCGTGGATATGTGAAACTCACATGAAAATATTCTGTGAATATATACCTTGAATGGTATTATACTGGCTCTTGTATCTTTCGAAACTGACAATTACTGATGTTTTCCATGCTTGCCTGGCTTTCCTTTCTTCACTCTTCAGTTTCATAGATACAACAAATATATTTCAAACCTACAATCAAAAATAATCTGAACTGTGAGCTGTACAACAATAAAAAAAAATTACCAACTTCATGTAAATAAAAGCAGTAGTATTAACTGTATGGGGAAGTCCAATATTGTGGCTTTTCCTGTTTGGTAATTATTTAGAAGAACTACTCATACGGAACAGCAAGCATGTATTAAAAAGCCTCTACTAAATCACACAAATGAGTCAGTCCAATGTACCACTTGTGACTCACAGATGATCTGCAGTGGCAACAAATAAGCCCCGCTGAAGATGCTGCCTTCCAGATGAAATACAACCCTTAATTTGCAGTTGCTAATGACCACTCATCACTTGCTCTAATTACCAGAGGCATTAAGTCTGTTGCATTAGCTGAAGCATGTACTTCAGTCAAGAGAGACTACCAAAACAAATCATCCCAGTAGATATAATAATCTCTGACAGTTCTCTTGCCTTCTTAAACTGTTGCCCCATTTCTCCCCATTAGTGGATTAAGTGACTGTACAAAATGAGTAATTTTAGCTTGAATACCCTATAACATTTATGCTGTAACAGTCTTTAGCAGTGATGGTTCAGTGCTGTTGAGAGTCTCCATTCAGAGGATACTAGCGTAAGATAATCAGGCTTTTTTGGGGCACAAGTTCTGTGAATTTGTTTTTGTTTTTTGTTTTTTGGGTTTTTTTTTCACATTGTCTTTTAACAAGTAGTTATGGGCAAATGGGATGCTTCAATGACAAAAGCCTGGGATGGACCACAGGGAAAAGAAAGTGCTGCTAATTCACTGTGACAGCATCAGAATCACACATGGATGCCAAAGTGAAATGCTTCTCCACTCATTCCCACCCCTCACCAATCAATACTTGGCAGGCTCAAAAATGCTCCAAATGCCTATGCTGCTTGTTCTCACTACCGCACGTTCCCACATTAGCCTTGGGCCTGCACTTCATATCAAGTTAAAGATTTATATCCTTTCCAAACTAAGCATAGCATTGGATCAGGTCCAGTGGTTTATTAAGCCTGTTATCTTTTTTTCCATTTGTGGCCAGACTGGACATGTCAGAAAAAGGCAGATAGCTTTTGCCAGAAACGAGTTCTCTTGACCTGGGAAGAGTTTTGAAACCCAAAATTATTTACAACCTGAATCTTTTCAGGCTGCAGTGTAACATTTCCAAAGGAAGTGATCACTCCAGGATCACTAGCTGGGGATGCAGAAAATTCTGAAAAATGCTGCTTCTCACCACTGACCAGTCTCAACTAGCAAATTCACAAGAATCCAGTCAGTTTTGCAGCCGTTGTTAGGAAGCAAACCACTGGGCAGCAAACATAAGGCATATCTTCTAATATTGCCAATATCACTGGCCCCCCGTATGGTAAGCTAT